ATGTGTTTCTAAGTCAAGAGTTCATTTTAAGCACAGTACAGTACTATTTGTTTATCAAAGAATACTTTTTGTTGATTTTACGTTACCTTGTATTTACTAGATTTACATACAACTAATAATGATAAATGATGATAAAATAAAAAGCTTGTGTTTTGTTTGTAAATTGCTTATTTTTTCATTACATTGAAGTTGTGGATTCTATCAAACATTTTTCTACAGGATGTATGTACTGTATTTTTTTAATGTGACAGTCTTTGAAGCATATCAACTGTGCAAAAAGAGGGCTAGATGTAATCAATGTTCACAGTAAATGTTTTATTATGTCGATATTCCACACTAAAAAATGTGAGGGTCAGGGAATTTGGACAAAGTTGGTCAGGGAATTCAAAACAAAAATTTGAGTAGGAACCCTGTACAGACTTTATAATTTATCATGGTACAGTTGGAGATGTCATTCCCCAATTCTCCTGACTCCATTACAGATCATCTCCCATAATGGATGAAGTAGGGGGCATCATATCTTAGCATGCCTTATTAAGACATTACTGGTCAACAGTGTAGCCTTAATATGCTGATGTTTTGTACGAAGAAATTAAACAGTCAATTATTTTATATCTATATAAATGGGGATGTATGTTTGTTTGTTCGGTATACACTCTTAGGCCGTTCGACCAATTGCTACGAAACTTGGCGATTACGTTCACATTCTTCTAACTTAGTTAATGTCGTACATACAACTCTGAAATATTCTATACATCAATTTCCAGCTATATTCGAGTTGGGGCTTTACACATAGCACCATGTATTAGCAAAACATTTAGTTAAGTAATAAATATAATTTTAAAATATGTCTATCCCCTTTCTCGAGATTAAAGAACGACAGCAGACTGGCAATATTACAGTATTTGATTTATATAATTACAAAGGTTATCTTACATGTTTATCACACGAAGTGATAATCCTCCTTGTCATATCCCCTTATATTGCATAATATCCCATCAACCAAAGCCCACCATTGGTCGAGTGGATAACACCACTAACTGATATTTGATTACCAATAGGCTGGCCGCAAGGAGTTTTCTGGGTTTTCTTCACGTGTCCACGGTTTAATAACGGTTTTTAAATGGGGTGCCATAAAATGGATTGATGGAAGAAAGCAATGCAATACGTGGACAATCTGCAAGGGGAATGCCTCTCGGGAGGACTTTCTATGAGAAACTGATCTGTACTTAGGTATCAGACACATGAAGAAAACCCAGAAAACTAATGCGGTCAGCTTGTTGATGAGGCATGAATCTACAACCAACTAGTAGTGTTTAGTGGTTTTATCCACCTGGCCTCAGTGCTGCAAAATATACTGCTAAACAGTACACTCCTCACGTGTATAATTAAAAGTATTGATACTAAAAGCAGCGGCAGATTTACTATACAATTGATAAAGCCATATGGGATCCATAATCTAAATGATGCCCTGAAGCAGCTTTTGAAGTTTGTGAAGTGAGTGAAGTTTTCAATAAAATCGATAGAGTGTAATTAATTAAAACAAGACCATTTTAGGGGTAGAATTATAAGCCAATGGATTGAAATACTTAATGTATTGACCTTAGACGTTGCTCTAATACGCATTTTATATGACCTCAAAATGTCCGTATAATTGCTCGAATTTCAAAATTTTATCGGGATCAGAATTCCCAAACATCCAGCTGTATGGGCTTGTTTTTAACTCTCCTCTCTATGGGCACTAAGAGAGCCTCTTTCAGCAAGCCCATTATGGGTTCGGCCAGGCCCACAATGGGCGGGCGGGTAGTGAGGGACGAGGCCCCGAAAAATATTTGTGGATTTTTCGACCCGTCTGGAATCGATCCCGGGTCCCCCAGAGCGGTAGGCTATCACCTTGACCGCTCAGCCTTTCGGCCGTCAAGCTGTATGGGCTCACTAAGGCTCGCCAGAATCTATTCATAGACTACATTTTTGCAGCTGAATCTTCGAACACTTCGTTGGTGCTCGGCTTTAAAGTTCTTTAGCTCAGCTCTTAGGCTAGACCCCGATGTTCCTTGTAACAGTTTAAGTTTGAGGATACCAACAATGAAGATCCGCCATTAACTAAAACTCAATAACCCTGCACTGATAAATAAATAGAGGTGCCACAACGAAAAGGTTGAAAAACATTCTCGTGATATACTTTTCGGGAGATCATAAAAAATCCACAATCCTCATTCTTCATCGCTAAATAATAATTAGGATTGTATACTTTGACAATTAATGCTACGGGATAAATTTAATTTTTAAAATAATATTTATATAAAATTAATATTTCGCATGTTTACAGAAACATTAAAATGATTTTAAAATTATTAATTAATATTTTTAAAAATTTAATTCTTAAATTAAAAAAAAAAAGTAATAATGTTTAGAGAGGGCGCTGTAAATACAAACTCACGTTGTTCTTCGGAGAAGACATTTTGATTTCTGTACTTAGAAATGGGCCAGTCTCAAACGAAGCCGGTCGAAGAACCGAAGAAATTAAAGCCTTGTTGCGCTTGTCCCGAAACTAAAAAAGCTCGAGACGAATGGTATGGATCGTCTTTTTTATCTTTCTTGATTAAAATTAATGTAGAATCGAATGGCATGATCATTCGATCTCTAATTTACTTTTTATGTCTCAATTTCGTTTAAGGACGTCCAGTTAGCTTATATTTTCGAACACTGCTTAAGTAATTTAACAAATTAATACCAATTTGTCATACCAAAGCCCACAGAATAAAACAGCGTTGTCATACGAGAGAAATCCCATAGATATGAACTGTCAACAGTAGTACTCAATAATTCCGCCAGGAGGAGAAGTGTTCTATCTATATGTCAAGCTCTTATCCATTTATCCATTGCACCAAATAACTCTTCAGCTGTTGACAATTATTTAAAAACTGGTCGTAGATCACAAGAAAAATATATACTGATTAATATTAACACACAAATGACATGTGTAGTACTCGGCGTGTGATATATGTATGGATCTTTTTCATCGCTAAAGCAAGGGAATCGTACTTTATCTTGATTTAATGTCATTGGAAAACTGATACGCATGCAAAACTTATAACCGGAGCCATCATTTACAGTTTGCATGTAGTTTGAAATATAGGGTCTAATAAATTGTTTTAAAATCCAATTATAAGTTGCTTTTGGGTGTCCATCTTTGCTGCATGAAAATATTGCATTTTTTTTTCTATCCGCGACTGGATTATCTTTTACGGACGAAGCATCACGGCTGGCTAGTGAATAAAAACTTGTAGAGCTACTTCAATTGCTTTTTCTAGTTGTAGCAAATATATAATAAATTCTGGCTTTGGATATTAAAGTCCCCTGCGATCATTTAAATTTATTAGACTCGTAGAAGAGACAGGAGTCTTCGCTGAAAAATCTGCAAACTGCCACCGGGCACGACACACCAGTTAAGAGCGGATGGCTAAGCTGTTTTAATCTGTGGGCTGTGGTCGTACTCTTTAGTCCGTGCTAGGAGAATAAGAAAGACAGTTAAATCCAACATGGCGTCGAGATGTTGGTAGTGTGTGCTTACTTTTTAAAAAGAGATAATTTTTTGAATTGATATTAAATTGAGGGTTTTTCTAATATGGGTTATATTACTTGTGTAGTCAGAAACTAGAAGTGAATATACATTTTTAGATGTCGGACTACTAGCTTTGAAAGGAAAACACTGGTTGTGTTTAACATCTTCGTTCCCAAGTGTCGATCATACTTAAAACTCTCTGGGAAATGCTTGGAGTATTACAGATCCCACAGTCAGGGATGGATAGTCGAATCTTTTTATGAGAGTCCGAGTCGTATTTTTTTTTTTTTTTTTGCCGACTCCCCATTCCTGCCTGTGATACGTATTTTTTAACTTTTCTTGTATTTAAAATTTCATAAAAAGATTGAAAATTCCTAAATTGTTAACTTTTCAATTTGGATGATACTTTTTGAAAGAACCTACACAAAAACGCTGCTTTCAAAGTATCTATTGGGTGTGATGCAACGCCGCACGATTCTGGGAATTAATTTTAAATGGAAATGCAGTACTGCGTGATTTTGAATTGGCCTGTTCCTTGAAGCATTTACAAATCTGACACTGTTTTGTTTAGAATGTAATGAAACTTCTCTTGGTTTGTAGTAGGGGATCGACTCTGGCCCTACCGATGATCTACACATCCCTGATCATGAAAGACAATGTCTAATTGCAATTGTCCCTCTCCAATTGCAAACAAAAAGTATGTTAATCCCCAAAACCTGAGATCTGGCATACACTCATGGATTATAGTTTGAGAATCACCGCCGACTGCCGAACTTTTGCGTCTAAATCTTGGCTGCCTCGAATTAATCGAGCATATATTTAAGTTCCATCTCAAGTTGTGGCTGCGTGGCCATATGCGCAGTGCCCCTGAAAAATTGACACTTATGTTATGGCTATAACAGTTGGCATCAACAATTGTTTCTGCTAATAGTCGGAGGCGGTTGGTTAAGCTTGTCATTGACTCTTTCCTTAATTATCTGCTTATTGCAATATAACTAAGCTTTGTAACAAAACATTATAATTAATTGTTGAAATTTCTGCATTTTTTATAGCTATTTTAAGATAAAACTAGTGATTAATTAGTTTATAATTAAAATCCACTATTAAGTTTTGTTAAAATAATTAAAATTATACAGATTATTTTGATTTTATGACATTATATTTGTTTATAGCATTATCCAGAATGGTGAAGAAAATTGCCAGAAATTAATAGAAGCCCATAAAGAATGCATGAGGAAAATGGGATTTAACATTTAATATATTATAAAGTTATTAAGGTGAATTTTTATGTTTAAAATTTATAATTTGTAAGCAAATGTACAATCTCACTTGATAGGCATAAAATTTAATTCATTTGTTAAATGTTAATTGGATACTGTGTAAAACAAGGTCCCATTTCCATTAATTAAGGTGAAAGATAACATATTCTAATATTTCAATTCACTCACAAGACAAGGCTTCTAACTTGAAATCGAGTCGAGTCTTCAAATTTTCTATAATATTTAACCTATTTTGGGAATAAGAAAAACAATGGACATAGTGAGAATTTAAGCAAATTTGTGTGTCGACTGCTACAGAGGTGTTAATAACTAAAGAATCGAAAAATTCAACATTTTATAAGTCACTTTGGCTGATGGTATTTACTTATTTTATGATAAAATATTTTATATAAACATCATAAAATATTTTATGATGTTTATATAAAATATAATTGTAATAAGGACAATGTAATTAATACAGAGCTTTGTGATGGGAACTTTATTGTGAAGAGCATAAAAATGTGGATCATTTTCTCCAATAAAATGGTCGAGGCGAGTTTTATCACAATGAAGAACACAATAAAAAAGCAACGTTTTGCTTTTTTTTTATTGCAGTTGAACATTTTTATATTAAATGTTAGTTTCAAGACCTTTTAAAAAGATTTGAAGTCACCTTCTTTCTCTATTTTCAGAAACGTGATTGTAAATTGTATACCACTGTAATTGTGATTTAGATTAATCGACAGCATCTCTTCAAACTTGCTCTCTTCTCTCTCTGACAAGTGACAATATGCAACTACCACTTGATTTTGACTCTGTCTAGAGGTCATTATCAAACTTCAAATTTGAACTTCTCTCTCCCCATAGCAGTCGACACATACACTTGCATGAATTCTCACTATGCCCATTGTTTTTTTCGTTCCAGAAATAGAGGTTCGAGAGGAAACTTGATTTCAGGTTAGAAGACCGGCAAGATCATTCCAAAATAAACATAGGCAGGCATCGCTCTGCCACCCGTATTGTGGGCATAGCCAAACCTGCAGTGGATAGAGAGGAGAAACAAATTTTCCTCCTTACTCTTCATTCTTTACCTGTTAAAGAATAAACAAACTGGAACTATAGGGGTTAATTGGTTTTTATTCACGTTTAATACTAAAATGAATTGACTTATATTAATAACCACATTGTTTATGAGATTCATTTATCCATTTATTTGTCTTTAATCCATTCTGATCCATTTACATCTGCACGAAATGCAATAAAACTATTAATTATCCTCAGATTTATGCAAAAATCCTTTCCTAATGATTTCTTTCTGGATTTTGGTTAAATATTCAGGGAATACAACTTGAAAATTGATGATAAGATCTCCTCTCTCTCTTCTGTTTTCTTCGTTAGGCATTCCTTTCCCTTTTAATATCTTCCTAGTGCCTGGTCTAAATCGAATTAATTAAAATAATATTAGTTAGTAATTAAATTAATTCAAGTTTGTTTATTTTCAGAGCCTATATGTAACCCTTAGAAAACTATGAGCTGCCTTCAAAGCTGTTCCTATGTAAATATTCAGCGAATTATTAGAATTTATATAAAAGCCAATGTCTCCGAACTTACTTTATTATCTCGGGGATTGCAATTGAGAGAGAAGTGCCGTCGAGCGTGTCCAGATTTGTTTTAAAGCCGGTCAGTGCATCCATTAACGGTACCTTCGTGTCGACACACAAATCATTTCCCTCTCGAATGTATAATTTGTGTGGTCTTTAAAGAAAATAAATGAGAAATTAGAGTTAAATTATAATAAATGTTTACATAAGTATAAATACTTCTGTTTTATTAACACGACGACATCTCCATATGCCGAGTTCAGATTCTGGTGTCCGTGTCCACGATATGTAAACTTCCTTCCGGAAGGACATCCTGGTGGAATTTGAATGGACAAGTTTTTTGTCTCCGATCTCATCGTCACTCCGTCTTCGTTCAACACCTGGCGTTTCACACGATCATCATTTAAAACCCTTTACTACTCTGATATACCTTTATATTCAGATGTTACCTTTCTTTCATACACTAATCTTCTAAAACAGCCACTAAACAACTCTTCAAGTTCCACTTCTATTATGTGAGTGGGGTCGGGTACCAGCTGTGTCATTTTACCTTCCGGTCCCAAATATTTGCCCATTTTTTCATTATTGGGGATAAAATATTCTGAAATTCAAATTAGAGAAATCAATTTTCTTGAGCCTCACTGTAAGGATCAAACCCATCATTGTAGATTTTTCATTCCCAAAGATTTATTATGAATATTTTGGATTGAGGCATTGTCCCCATCCCTCGCCAATGCTGTTTGAGCCCACTGTAGGTTAGACTCGCCCAAACCATGCCATTATAATCGGCCCACGAAACAAAATATTTACCTGCATAAGGATTATCAACGCCAAAAAAGTCACGAAAAACCTTCTCTGTATCTCCATGAAAGCTGTAATTTTTTACAACGGCACCTTCTGCGCCCTCTGCCCAAATGGGCACTCCCAATTTCAATCCGCATTCACCGTATTGATCATAAATTGCCTTCGTTTCGGCTACGAAAAAATCGAATTAATGGCAGGAACCGTAGGAAAATTCAAGAAGTCGCCACTTACGATTCGTCAAAACATCATACGCCTCGGAAATTAGAGCAAATCTCTTGTAAGCATAATCGTCGTTACACCTTAGAGGATGATATCTTAGTGCTAAGCGTCTATACCTGTAAGAATTGATGATTAAAATCGATTTTTATGCCCGTATTCTGGTACGACTTACGCCTTTTTGAAGTCATCATCCGTGGCTGAAGAAGTTAGTTCTAAGACACCATAATAATCAACGCCCATTTCTTTTTAATAAATTCGAATTTTCTGCTTTGGAATATTCTGTTTTACGTTGCTGAAATTCGTTATACAAATTCTACGAAAATCTCGTGCATTCGAATAAATTTTATAGAAAAAAGTCGTTGCATGAGCTACGTTCTCGCTAGTTAAATGATTTAAATTACTGAATTCTGGTATGATTCTGCCATAAAAATCATTGAAAGAGGATTGAAGAGTTGTGAGATGTAGAACTAGGAATTGGAAGACAGTCAATGGATAAGATGGAAGATAGTAAAGGCTAATAAAAGTCAAAATAAGAATGATGTTAGCCATAAATTACCACAGAAATTGAGGGTATGCACTTGGGGCAATGGTACAAACGTCCCTACAAGTTATTTTTTATACAATGTCATTGCAAATTTCACAATCTTTTAGGGTATACGTGAAATTTTTACCTAATAGATGGTTTAATTTATGTTAGGTATTTTAATATTACGCAAAGTTTATCCGAGAAACAAAATTTTCCTTTATTTCCAAATAGTTTCCTTCTATAACACGAGAAGTCACTTGCAATTCGGCTCATGTTCGATTGGCATTTAAATTAGACCAATCTGAAGACAGAATGGCATGTTCTTGTTTACATTAATCACGAGCAATCTGACAGAAATATGTAAACACAATGTTAGATCAACTCGAGAAATTCATATTAGGTATGAAAACATACCTAAATGACTAGAATTCATGGATATTTAACCAGGTAGGAACTGGGTATATATAAATAAATAATTCTAATCAAATACTCAAGAAGGGTGCCATTTTATGCCAGGTGGCAGGAAAAAATGGCCGTTTTTAATTTAAACATTTTAACACTACAATGCTCTACACAAAATACTGAAGTTTAACTTGCGAATTTTTCAATATTAGAACGATCAGAAAGTTTAGTTCTTGGGACTAGATGATGAAACTCTTGCTGCACACTTCGCAGCAAGCAGTTTTCTTATTCAAGCAGCGATCAGTAGTGTCTTGCAAAGAAGTTTCGTTCTGAAACTTCTCTCGGCACGTATCGCAATGGAAAGGACCGTCTTGCGAATGTACCTTAGCGTGTTTCGTTAGTTGCCACCTAAATGCGAATTTCTGCAAACAGAAATTGCAACTCAGTGGCTTAGTGTGAATCCGAATGTGCCTTGCCAAATCCGTTTTGCGCTTGAAACTGTGGTGGCATTTTACGCACTGATACGGTTTCTGCTCGCAGTGGATCTTCATGTGCTCCTGAAAACGACACAGAAATTTAAATTTCCTTTTGCAAAGATAACACTCCATGGGTTCCGCAGCTTCGGTTCCGTCGTTGATCTCCGTTTCGTTGCTGTGGCGTGAAGTTTTCTGCTTTACGTGTGAAGAAATGCTTGCTTCGTTCTTTCGTTCGACTTCTGAAATTGTTAAAGTGAAATTTTTTACAAGGAATATTCCTGGGAATGTACACTTGTACCAAAAAAAATTTATTTCAGAAATACGACAAACCTAAATTTGTATGGCCCTCTTCATTTATGAAATTCTTCCAAGACTCGTTCGTTAAATTACTTTGGATTGCTAGAAATTGATATGGTGAAATCTCAACTGAAAAATTCGTTATTTGGTGAAAAGATATAGAGTATGGTCCTGTTTTACGCGTAAGTTACGTCAGCATGTATTGCGAGTAAACAAATTTTCGTGTAAATTTGCGACTTCACCCAGTAGTATTAGTGTCTTGACGGTATAAAGACAATGCAACGTTTCACCTATCGAAGGCTTTTCTATGGGATAGCGGCCCGTATTTAAACGTTACACGTGAAGAAAACTCGGTAGACCCGTTGGTGAGGTGCGAACTCGCGAACATCAGTGAATTTTGTCTACTGGTGGGCCTTACAAGTAACAGAAAAAACATTCTAAACACATTATACTGAATTTTAAAATAAAATCGGCATAAGAGAATTAAAGTTACTCTTGAGCATTCAAGGATTAAACCTAACCACTGGCATAAAACAAGACCCCTGTTGCATTTAGCAGTTTACCTGAAGCATTTTCGGAAATTTTCCATGAAGAATTTGACAACATCTTACGAGGCTCTTGGGATAATGGATCCGCTCCAATTTTCCTTTTTTCATGCGTTGTGATATTTAAATCATTCGACTTATCTTTTATTGAAGGAGAAGCAAATTCTTCAGTTTCGTCTTCCTTGAATCAAAAAATTTACACTGGTTAATTAAATCTTCGAACAAATCCTGATGACAATAAAAAAAAACAATTTATATTTACCGATTCGTCAATAAATGGGCTCGAAAAGCACGTGTATTCCACGTGCAATGGAATTCCTCCCGAGCCACATCCTATCGCATTGTTAGAACCAATTGTATCTGCTGGAATTTCGTCTATGGTCACTAGAGATTCGGTTTCACTCTCCCCAGATGATATTTCTATAATATTTTTTGATTCTTTTCTGTGATGTTTTCTTCCTTTCTTTCGAACTGACGAAGATTTGGGCGAATCAATTTTGTCGTTACCATTTTGGGCAACTGAAGAATCTACACTTTCAATTTTATTGAATTCTTCCTCCATGTTTAGAAAACGTTTAATCTGCAGGGCTGCTGCAGCTCTGAATACAGATGGCAAAATTTCACGAGAAACACTAACTTCTCCGTTATATATGAAATCTATGAGGGTTTGAAGTTCCGAATACTTCGTATCGGGTACAATTACAATTGGGTGTTGACTAGGATTTTCCAGGAACAGGGTTTCTAGTAGCGGACTACTAGCCGATAGTAGTATTTTATGAGCTTTCAGTGTCTTTCCTTCACAGACTAATGTGACGTCAAGCATGGCTTCTTTGGTAAATAAATTATGAAAAGTCCTTGCTAGATCTGTTTCTTGATCGTTCCATTTCAACTGCACTAATTGACTTTCCATAGCTTCAGTGATGTCACACTGCTAAAAATAAAAATATATATTAATAATACAATGGTAGGCGCTAAATGTGTGCAAGAGTAGCGTGTAGGCCTAAATTTAAAATTTTTTTTCCGAAGTTCTTAATTAATTTTCATGAATACGACATTCAATGTCGTATAAAGAAAAC